ACCTCATTAGCTTTTGTATTTTTTTTACTGTTGCGGTTAACCATCTTTTACCATGGCAAGGTTTTGGTCTCGGCTTCATGCAAATAGTAGTTTTAATACTGTCAGTAACTTGATTGATGTTTTACAATATTTGACAGTAGAATATACACGACTTTCAAAAATGGTCGCCAAACTCGGTTGGGACTAGGGACAATTGAATGGAAGCGAGGTAAGTAAGGCCTCATTAGTAAACAAAGTCTAGTCAGTACGATATTTTGTGTCAAAGTCATTCACCCTTACTTCAAAAGACTCTTAAAAGAACTCGAATTGGTGAGATGAATGACTTTGACACAAAATATCGTACTGAGTAGACTTTGTTTACTAATGAGGGCTTACTATTGTCCCTAGTCCCAACCGAGTTTGGCGGCCATTTTTGAAAGTCGTGTATAGAATCATTAGGGTTACTCAGTGGAAATGGGAGGGTTGGTAACGGATCTAAAGGATGATGCTCGTGAGGCATTCTGGTCTATCCTGAGCTTTCCTTTTTATCTTTTTCATTGCTTCTACAGCGTTGTAAGTCTGCCAAGTTTTAAACTAGATACGAAAGTAGATGTGAAATCATTACGTGCTGTGCGTGTGTTGAGACCATTAAAGTTAATATCTGGCATACCTAGTAAGTAATCTGATGCTATATATCATATTCCATAGAGCAGTTTTCGTATGACTGTGAAAAGCTCAGTGCGTATGCGTGACGTGCCGTGACCGTGATGTGTTCTAGAATTTTAATTGGCTGTTTTTTTCTCTCGCAATGTGATTGTTCTGGCAGTGCCGTGACATTGGCGTGACCGTGTTTATGCCGTGTTCCGGGCATTTGATTGGATGAAGAGTAAATTATCGCGCAATGTGATTGGTCTGGCGTATACCTTGTCGTGTCATGACCGTGTTCGTGCCGTAAGCTTTTCACAGTCATACGAAAACTGCACTAGAAAATACAGTTTCATCCTAATCATGCACTGATTTTTTAAATATCTCTTGTCACTTGTATTTTCTCCCAGAAAATTGAATCTTGCTAAGCAGGCAGCGCGCTAACCAATCAAAACATACTCGTAATGGACACCAGCGAAAAACGTTTGCGCATGCGTGCACTTCAGCGCGTTTTCTAAGAATCTTGAAGAGTTTGAGTGAGAAAATAAATGTTTGTTTTCTCCAAGTATACAAAACATTTCACGAGTATACTTTTGTCAAACCAAGATACTGTATTAACAAACACAATATGAAAGAATTACCCTTAAGTTTCAAGCATGGACACTAAGTTTGGCATTTTGTGAAGTCCAATTTATCAGGGATGTTTGAAAGTCAAATTTACTTATGTTTTGAGCAATTTGCATACGGGTTCAGAGCATGTGCAGACGTTTTCACTCATGTCCTCGTAATGTAATTTTTTTCTTTTTGTCCCTCCAGGTTTACAAGTAGTTATGAAGTCAATTGGAAGAGCGATGGTGCCGCTTCTTCAGATCGCTTTACTAGTTCTCTTCGTTATTGTTATTTATGCTATAATTGGTTTAGAATTTCTCATGAATAGTTTTCATGATACGTGTTATAATCCCGTTACAAGTGAGTCTTATATATACCACCTGGTATAGAACTAACCAAGGCAACCACGTTGCAGGTCTAGAACAGTCCAATGTTTGTACATCATAATAGATTCCATTTTCCAAAGGAGAAAAAGTGGGTTTTGGCTAACAACATGGTTGCCGTGAAAGTTCTGTATAGGTTTTACAAAGCACTTTATATTGCCGTGCTCAAATATGAACTTTAGTCACTGCAGTTTATTGCAGGATAAAAACACGGTGCCTTGTCGTGCACGTGATGTTTCCGTGCATGACGGGCAATTACGATTCCTCACTCTGACGAAACCGACCGACTGACCGACCGATAGACTGAGCGACTGGCCAACTGATAGACTGACCGGCTGACTTGCTGACTGAACAACTATTCCACTGACACAATGGCCGACTGGCCGACTAGCCGACTGGCCAACTGACTGACACTCTTTCGCACTTTTCTCTTTTTCAGAACAATTAGAAGACAATCCAAGACCCTGTGACAAGAAGCCATACAACGGCATACGAGAGTACATCCACGGGCGAGAGTGCCCCATTGAAATGGAATGTGGAGGAAACTGGACAGGACCAGATAATGGGATTACTACTTTTGATAATATCGCTCTTAGTATGATAACAGTGTTCCAATGTATCACGATGGAAGGCTGGACAGATGTTATGTATAAGGTATGCAGCAGATCAACAATAATGCTATATTATATCTCTTCTTTTCAAGGGTGGTGTAGTAAAAGTACACTTGCTTCTCACCTCTGGGGTCTTAGGTTCCATCCCTTGACTTGGCAGTACGCCTTGACTTAGAACAGCCCAGTAAAGTTGTTTCAGGGTTTGATCTGTGAGTTAGCCATGTCCTGACTTAGAACAGCCCAGTAAGTTGTTTCAGGGTTTGATCTGTGAGTTAGACATGCCCTGACTTAGATCAGCCCAGAGGTTGTTTCAGGGTTTGATGTGTGAGTTAGCCGTGCCCTGACTTAGATCAGCCCAGAGGTTGTTTCAGGGTTCGATCTGTGAGTTAGACATGCCCTGACTTAGATCAGCCCAGAGGTTGTTTTAAGATTTGATCTGTGAGTTAGCGATGCCCTGACAAAGATCAGCTGAGTAGAAGTTAAGGGTTTTAATTTTGAAGGATTTCTTTTCACGTGTTATTCCCTTAAGTATCATTCTCATACTCATTAATAATTCAGGGTAAACCAGCCAATCAATGGGCTATTTTTGGGGTCACATGATGTTTCTTTAAAACCTGGTAAAGTCCTGTGAAAGGACTGAATTAATCTTGTTCAAGTCCTTGGACTTGATCAAAATTAATTCAGTTCAGAGACATATCTGTCCCTTAAGTCTTTCAATCATAAACAAATAATCTCCCGAATATTAATGAGTATGAGAAGTCATTTTAAAGCCTCCAAATCGTACTGGAAGGGATTCCAAGTCCTTGCCATTAGTTTGGAACTTGGAACTGATTGCGCGGACTTAAAATCCCGTCCAATCCTCATTGTCGGCTTTGAGATATTACTTCCTTTGACTCCGTGACGCTCGAGACTTTTGCTGATGTCTTGGAAAATGGAATAATATTCTCCAAGGACCTGAAAGTAGATAAGGTCTTGAATAAGGGCACATCACTTCCAATCTTTAAGTGTATTTATCTGCTTTTGTTTCAGACATTCGAGGCCATAGATCAACATGGCTTCTTGTATTCTATATATTTTGTATCTCTTATTGTAATCGGCTCGTTTTTTATGTTAAATCTTGTACTAGGAGTTCTTAGTGGGTGAGTACCAATAAATGACAAGATTTTATTTTACACGCGTGGAATGATGAAGATGATGATGGTGATGATGATGTAGATGATGGTGATGATGGTGATGATGACCATGGTGATGATGATGACCATGGTGACGATGACGATGATGATAATGGTGATGACGATGATGATGATGACGATGGTGATAATGGTGATGATGATGACGATGGTGATAATGGTGATGACGATGGTGATGACGATGGTGATGGTGATGGTGATGATGATGGTGATGATGATAACGATGATGATGACGATGGTGATAATGGTGATGATGATGAGTTTGATGATCGTAATGATGAACTGATGACGGTGATGATGATGGTGATAGAGTTGATGATGGTGACGACAAAGATGATGATGATGACGATGATGATAGATAATGGTGATGATAATATCGGTGATAATGATTTGGGCCACCTATTTTGCCTCTAATCCTTAAGTATTTTTGCATCAATATCAATGGTCATTCTCTAAAACTGCATTTTTTCTTACTTTTCAGAGAATTTGCAAAGGAAAGAGAAAGAGTCGAGACGAGAAGAGCGTTCTTCAAAGTTCGACGTCAACAGAAACTAGAAAGAGAAGTTGCTGGTTATATCGAGTGGATAACAAAAGCTGGTAGGAATGGATAATATTAATGACTATTAATTATAAGAATATTTTGGGTTGATCACGTTGTTGATGGTGCATGATGAAGATGATGAAGATATTGATAGTGATGGTGTTGAGAATGAGATGATGATGATGGTGATGATGATAAATGATGATGATGATACGTTATTATTTTGATTATGATACATGATGATGATACATGATGATGATGATACATGATGATTGTGATGACAATGATGACACATGATGGTGATGATACATGTAGATGATGATGAT